AAACCTTATTTTCAATAAGCAATCCTGAAAAATATTTGGGGGTGCTTAACTTTTTTCCAGGTGTATATTTAGGTACTCGGAAAATATATAATAAATGTTGTTAAATATTTGAGTTAATGTTCTCTTCTTCTAAAAGCTATTTTAGCAATATTTTGTAATTTCAGTTATTGTCCAATAATATTAGTAAGCAATTTCGGTCACATTTGGAGGAAAGGTTATTCGATCGGATTTATTTGACTTGCATTTAAGAATTCGGTTTCTGCCTCTTATAGTTTATAGTGGATGCGTTGGTAAAACTGTAGATACTGAAACCCAAGTTTTAGCGTTATAACTTCTCAGACATAATGATAAGCCACTGAGGACCTAACAAAGCTACATTTACTTTTGACAAATGCATATGCGTCTCATTGTGAAATTTTTGATTTAAGACATACATATCTAAGGTGAAAGTTAAATGCTCTTTACTCTTTGGGTTCTTAAAACTAATATTTAGAGAAACAGACAAGAACTGAGGTAAATTGCGTACGAAAAGAAATACTGCATGTTGCAACAAGTTCAATTTGCATTTGCCCTGTTTTCTATTTACTACATTTCACGTATTACAATTGGAATGCTGGTCGATTAGCAATGATCCATTACGTCATTACACGATGAATTAAAATAGCTTGTTAAAAATAATACTGAACAAGTTAATAAATAAAGATTAGGCTGAAATTATATAAAAATATTAATAAAGTTCTTTTCACGAAATATTCGTTCTCACAATATAAGGTGGCAGCACTTTTCTACTTTTACTAAGCAAATACATTATGAAGTAAGATTTTTTTTTATTGCCTACTACAATACTGATGTACGCATAGGCCTAACGCTAATATAAAAGTACAAGCTCAACAACTTAAAAGCAGGATGTAGTTTTAAAGCTAAAATAGTTATGTTGACGTTGTTCTGGGGTACATTATGGAGTTATATTTTAGATTATTTATATTTCGTAAATTGTTATATGCTCTGATAATTCATATACTGTGTTAACTAAAACGAAGATAAAGAAAATAAAAAATAGGAAAACTGGACGTATCGTATTATTACCACTACCAGGTAGGCGTGACTAAATAATACGACATTAAAATTAAGAAATAACACTAGAAAGTAGGATAAAATTATTAACTAAAGGCTAAAGTAGTAAAAGCACAGCTGAAATTTATAAAAGCATACAGTCATTGGCTGGTGCTAAAATACTTCTTCTTTTGCTCGTATTACTGGTGTACAAAAGAAAAACTGGCCTAGCAACGTTAAATATATAAATTATTATTCACTAATACTAATGTACATTTTAGCCTTTATGGCATTCTTGTAACACAGTGGCTGATAGTGATAAGCTTTCCATTTTGTTTTAAGATTAAGTAATACTACTAGGCTTAATGCTGTTATTTTTTATAATTCAAATACTTTATCTGTTTACTGTGTTAGCTGTTTAGAGAAAATAAAGAACCACCACTTACATCATAAAGCTATTTTTGAGATATCATAAAAAATAAAAGAAAAAATCATGTCATGTAATTATACTTTCAAAGTTTCATCAAACATCCATATTGGCTCTGGACATGAATTTGCTACAACAAGAAAATGGTAGATAGGCTTATGTTTGACAGTAACTTATTTTCACATTTGTTTCCATGGCAGAGGGACAGAAAACCAATCCTCTCTTTCTTCTCAGTGTAACATAATACAAAACCATAAAACTTTTATAGGCTTATTTGAAGGTTATAAATTGGTCTTATGTTTTTTCTGTGATGATTTAAAAATGTAATCCCAATTTAACCTTAACATTATTGACTCGTCATATTGTTCATTACTGTTACGGTTTACATATTGCCTTTTACACCATTGTGAAAAACCAAAAAAAAAAAAAAAAAGGGTGAAAACACCCATTTTCTGTCTCAAATACTTGAGGAATCCTAGCAGTAATTAGTCGGATTAATTGCAATATTGATAGCATTTTTGTTTATATTTTTGGTGCATAAGTTGTAACTTGTAGTACTAGGGGACAGTAACTATTAAACTCAAAGCCATGAATCCATAAACAATTTATTATGCCATAGTTGAGAAAAATATTTAAATAATGGAGGACCACATAGGTTGTTCAAGTTTTAAGATACAAACTATTGCTTTATTCATTATATGTATCGCTATCTTAAAAACATCATTATTTCAACAATAAAAACCTGTCAAATGTTATTGCTGTTTTTGTGTTTTAGCCTTTACTTCCAGTAGTTTTGATTGATTGTGCCATACTTAGGATTTAAGCAACTACTGTATAAATTGGTTATGGTGCTGAACTACTGTTATTAAAATATAATACAATATAATGAGCAAATAAATCATAAGGAAGTATAATTTTTACTTCAAAACAGTAATTAGATATGAAAAAGTGATAGTGTTAGAAATAATCTTCTTTGATATATTTCATAAATTGCTACTCAAAATAAATTCTATATGAAAGGTTCATATGTCATTAGAAAATCTTGAACTTCTCTATTCTTACAATAAATTACCTTATACCTTGTGACATGAATAGTTTGAAACTTACTATTGAAATTTTACTCATTCTGTGGGAGAGTGTGTTGTGTGGCTTGTCATCTTGTTTAGGCAAACTAAGGATGTTATAATATGCCTTATAGAATTAAAATATAATTACTGTTAAATCCGACATTGAACTTTTGCTGAAAGAAATTATTAATTAAACAATGTTTTCTTATTCTTAAGAGTCCACAGTTTTCATTTTAATAAAATCTGTTCTGATTCCCTAATGTTACATTTATTTGTTATACTCATTTTTGTGTGCTATTATAGTTATATTTGTACAAAATTATTTCTTGCTTACTTTTATAATATTGAAGATGAAATCCAAGTTACTCCTAAATGGACATTAAACATATACTTTTTGCTATTGCTGTAATTTTGGTGTTTTGATATTCCACCTTTTAAATAAGTCATATATAAGTTGTTAATTACTGAGATATTACATTAGGTTATAAATTATTTTCTTTGTTACTACTATTAGCAATAACATGGTATGACTTCCATTATTTATATGTTTTTTTTGGGGGTGGGTGAGATGGGAGCACTCTAATTGATTTTTTTGTATCTTGATGTTTAGAAAACCTTTGATAAAATTCCTTACATGAGATTTAATAATTTGGATGTTTATGAAATTGTAGAAAAGTTAAAAGTAAATATAATCTTTGCTTAATGGTAAAAGCTTCTCGGAAAGAAATGCATCCATGTTTACTGATGATACAAAGATGCTTGGAAGGGTTGATTCTTTTATTCAAAAGGACTCTGTCAGTCTTAGCAAATGGATAATAGAATGGAAAATGGGTTATATAGAAGTTAAGTACATGGGGTATGAACGTTTGAAAAATGCCTGTTCGTTTTATTTTTCCAAAGAAAGGCATTGGTGTTATGGGAAAAAGGAATAAGATTTAGGTGTTAAGCATTCACAATAAACATCCAACACTATCACAGCAAACTTTGTCTGAGGGCTTTTCATCATGGGTCAAATATTGTCATATGGCTGAAACCCGAATGTAGAAGTCTAGCATAGATATAGTTAAATTTGGACATGGATCTAAGTGGTCATGAGCGTAAATATCAACTTCAGGTCACTTATAAACAAATTGATTTATATTAGATCTAGGCATAAATCTAGTGTTTGGATTGCATTTATCCATATAACTGTACAGTAATTGGAATCTGAGCTTCTATTCTAGCAATGATACTAAAAATAGAGCATTATATAGCTTGGTCTCCAACTTTCAGGGCTTCATCAATATTCATAAGATTTATGTCCATGTCTTCTGATTGGCATTATTTTATTCCTACTAATCTTAGTATAGGTATATGCCTCAATATAGTACATGTTAAGTAATACTAGTATTATGTATAGATAGATAGATATATACATTAACTTTATGTGACCAACACAGATTTGAATCCTGATCAGACAAGGATTGTTTGGTAACTTAGAAATCAGCCAATTGATCTACAAGTTAATAGTCAGTATTATAAGCAAAAAAACTATTTTTAATAGTTTTGGGCCATGAAATCATAAATTAATGCTATTAAGAATTTAAATATTGATTTATGTTCAGAGTACATTCCCCTTTATACTTACCAGAAATTACAATATTGTTTTATTAACATGTAGTATGAGATAATTGCCAATTGGGCACATGATTTTAAATCTTTATGTACCCAATAATTTTTAGAAGCATTTGAACTTTATTCAGTCAATCTTTTGAATAATCTTGTAACCTTTAATATCATAATGTTTTACTGTTTTCTCAAGAGAAAATATGTTACGAGATCTTAACCTGTCCCTGTATGAAAACCCTTCCATCTCTGGAATCATCCTAGATGCACTCCTATGAATTCTTTCCAATAAATCAACATACTTTCTTAGATGAGACAAACTGTATACAGTATTCCAAGTAAGACCTTAGTAGTACACCCACCCTCCAATAAAGATAGTGTACATGAAAGGAAGGATTGATTGCATGTTGACAGATATACATATCCCACATTTACATAGACTAACAAAAGTTTCGATTAATTAACCAAAATGTCTGTCTGTTGACCTTCATTTTCATGACATAAGATGATATGTTTCCATGTGTGATGTGATATTCTCCTTAGCATTCTAGGGATTACCTTAGCAAAACTTTTAACAATTTTTTGTTTCAAACCATTGATCATTTGTTTCATATTGTTCCTTTGCCACAGTCATTACTAAAACCAAAAAACTAAATTGTTAACATGCACTTTAAATAAGGATGGTGCCCAGACTTTTCCCCACCTATAGTTTGTATATAGAGAATTACCTCTTTTTGTCTTGTAATCAGTGTGTACAAATATACCATCAAATTCCATTAGCTTTACTACTAGTAACAGAACACTGCTTTGATAGCTTCAGTGACTTATTCACCGCTATGCTAAGATCACTTTTTTTTCAGCCATGCTATTGTGTGAGTTCCCATCTATGTTAAATGTGTGACTCAAATTATGATAACATAAATAATGAGTTCCTTTATTGTGTATGTGTGAGGCCTTGTACTTACTGTAATTAATGGTAATTTGCCAAATATTTGTTGAATTTCTCAGTTGATCTAAGTCATTCTGTCATACTTTAATGTCATCAATACAGTTAGAAAAAGTAAAATGTTTAATATCTTCTGCAAACTTTGAAATATATGCTCCTATCAATATCAATCCTGTAAATAAGAAAAGAAATGGCCCAAGCTCTTACCACTGAGACAGTCCATTAGTATCAAGAGTTCGGTGTATTCTAGGAGTGGTAAATCATGTGATTACAGTCACTAGAATTGCCATACATCACATATTTACCTTAACCATAGTTAATCACATCATTGGTGCACAAGTACAAAATTTTCTGTGGAGGAGGTTATTTTTGAAATTTTGACAGAGATTTAGCTTCTGATTTTTAGTTATATAACATTTCTAATGTAAAACAAAATGTAAGTGTCTTGAAAAGAAAATAGCAAAAAGTCCTCTTCAAGCAGAATTATTTGCAAAGTAAAAGCCTGCAAATAATTTCTTAAACTGAGTCAGTGACTTCTTGGGTCTGAATTTTAAACTGAAGTTGCTTCTAATAATACTGTCCTTGCCATAAAAACTATTAATGTAGTATGTCTGTAATTTGATTGGGAGTTTATTACAACAGGCATTAACATGTGTATAATAAGGAATCATATGGCCATTCGAGGCTGTCCTCGCACATCCACCTTTAATTTTTCACAAAATAATTGATTACTCTCTTAAATGCCTGTAAAGTGCTGGCCTCCATATTGCCAGTGGAAACGCATTCCATAAGGCACTTGACCTGTTATAAAAATAAAACTGTCTTAACTGGAACCTAGCCTGTCTTTTTCCAAATCTTTAACTTGTGTCCTGTCATTCTGTTACTTTCAGAACATGGCCCAAAGAAACCAGAGGCTTTTATCCTATCGATCTCTTGTATAATCTTGTAAACTTCAGTAAGATAATCTCTTATTTTCCTCTCTCTCAACAGAAAATAAGTAAAGAGACCTTAACCTATCCATGTAAGATAATCTTAGTAGCCCTTCTCTTAATCTCTTTCAAATTAATCAATATCCTTTCTTACATAAGGAGACAAAAATTGTATATGGCATTCCATATGAGGCCTAACTAATGGTTTAATATGTTAAAGATTAACATCTTTCATCTATCAGTTTTGAAACATTTTAGTTTTTTAATGTATTTTTAACCAAAGAGCCAGTCTTCGACCATAAAAGAAGAACCTTTAAACACCAACTGTATGTGTACCCAGAATATAAAAGGTTAATTGAAATTTAGTATAATATTTGCTGAACTAGAGGATCTATAAGATCTAGCCTATGATTAACAATAGTCTTCCTGTTACATTAGTGAAATAGTTTTTACTTTTACAGATTAATAGTGTAAAGGCACGATGTGATGATATTAGGTACAAGTAGCTCAAAATACTCAGATAAAAATGAATGAAAATAACCTCTTTTTAAACTGACCAGCCTTTAAATTTTCAAATTTACAGTCCAATGAATAGTTTACTTAACAAAGATTCTTCTGTGATAAGACCGACTTGGATAAATATTTCGACATACAAGTTTATGTAGGCTATTTATTCATATGGTGAGGGAAGGCATTTTTATAACAAAATTATCTTTACAGCTGTGTCAAAGTTTGAGTTGGTTTGGTATTCTCAACTAATTTGTCCTGAAGTGTGGATATTTGACAAATTTTGTTAGTATTTTATTTTTATGTTCTTGTGATTGTGGACTTGAAAAGTGTTTTGCTGATTAATTCTGAATCTTCACTGAAGGTTTTTCTGTTTTGTTTTTTGCTAGTGTATAGTGCTTGCATTATTGTTTTCTGTTTTGTCAGTATTTACTTGCAGTCAGTTTAGTTGTTAGCTGTAATGTTTGTATATGGCTAAGTTGTGTTCTTGGATTTGGGGAGAAAAAATTATTGTAAAGAAATTTGCTGGTCAGTTACTAGTTTTGTAGAATATGTATCTTGTATGTGAAATAGACATAATGTTGATATAAAACTTAGGTCCATCTTGTGCTTGTAGGGTTGGTTTCTTAGCAGGCCTTTCATGAGGGTAATCATTGGGGTGGAAGCTCTTTTTGAGGGGCTGAAAATTTTGGAATATATTATCTTGGCCACAGAGTTTGGTTTCTTCTTACAGTTTTTTTTTTTGAGATGGCTGAATTATTAAAAGTTTGCTTTCAGTAAACAATGGTGTACAAGTTTGTGCATGTCATCTAACAAGGATATCAAGGGGCAAACATGGCTTTAACCCATTAACTGCTGTAGGAAGAGCTCAGTTGCTGTTTTCTGACTCGCAGATAAAACTGAGTTGCCATCATTCACAATAAAATGGTAATTATCGTCATTCCCATAGAGTTATAGTTGTATATGTGCGACTAACGGATATTTCCGTCATTCGCAGCTGAGTCATAGAACTTCAATGACGGAAATATCCGTCATCTGCAGTTAATGGGTTAAATACAAAACATATTAACTCTAACAAGTTGAGTTATAGTTGTATATGTGCGACTGACGGATATTTCCGTCATTCGCAGCTGAGTCATAGAACTTCAATGACGGAAATATCCGTCATCTGCAGTTAATGGGTTAAATACAAAACATATTAACTCTAACAAAGTCAGATTTGCACACATCACATATATAATCCTTGTCCACTGTGAACCAAGTGCTAAGGCATGGTAGACTCTGCTTATTATCCAATTCTATTTCTGAACATCATATGCTATCTTTCTTGAAAGCAACTTGTTTAATTGCCAGTTAATGAACTAACTTATTGCATACACCTAAACAGGTTGAAGTGTCTACTTGAGGAACTCTCTCTATATGAACTAGAAACCCTGAAAAACACCTTAATTGTAAACAAATTTACTTATTAGCTAATGGGTTAGCAAATACATTTTACCATCTTGTACCACATCTATAATGATGCAAATGATCAAAAAAGTGCTATCAACATGGCATCTCCAGAAATGTTTTTGTGGTGCAACAAGTAAAAGTTTTTAATTCAGAATTATGAAGATACTACCAGTTATTATCAACAAAACTTTAATAATTGATTCATATATAAGAAACTGAAGCTTAACTAAAACTCTAAGAGGACAATGACAATAGAGAACATGCTATTCCAATCATCTATTGGATATCTTTCTTATTATTACATATGTACTCTTAGTTTTAACAAGCTTTTCAAATAACCTTCTTACGTTCAAATGAAAAATGTATATAAATAGATCCTTGATCTCTGTCAATTCTCTTCACCGTGACACAAGGTTTTAGATATCAATGTACTTACCTAAATCTCTCCTTTCTTCAAAACACCAATATTTCAAGAAGTCTTTTTCCAAATTTCTCAGTATATAATTTTAATTTCGTTATTGAAATTTAGTTTGCACATTCTTTCCAATTTGCTAATTATGGGATTATACTTCTTAATTAAAAAATAATAATTGGAAAATTGGCCTATCATGATATTTATTAGTTATCAACCAATTTGGAAATACTTCTGCCCAAATAAGGTAGATACCAAAGCTGTTAACACATAAAAGAAACAACAAAAAGCCTAAAATAGACTCACGAGTAATTCATCTAGTCTAAAAGTTGTAAAAAATTTTATTTTTGGTCTACTTGTTACCTTTTCCACCAATTCCATATATATCGAGTGTAGTAATTAATCTTTTACGAGACATCTTATCATAGGATTTCAGAAATTAAAGTATAAACATTTGCTGGGGTGACCTTATCCAAAGTAGCAGAAACCCATTAAAACCTGTAATACATTTGTGGAGCACAAAAGCCCCTTTCTAAAACTGTTCTAAATATTGTTGATTAAAAGTCAATTTTTGAATTACTTTTCTGAAAGATATCTTGCAAGAAGTTCCAACACCTTTTTTACAGTAGTAACAGTTATCGAATTGATAGTCCTTTAGTTTTTTGGATCTTACTTTGACCTCCACCACATTTTTTTTTATTGGGATCATATTAGAACATTTCCTTGTGTGAATCAGTTTTGGAAAAATTAACTTTTGCAGGTGCCACCTTATCCTTAATGTGGTTTTCCAAGCTTTTATATGTTATGATCATGATCTTTCTTGAAAATTTTTTTCAAAAATATATTTATTAACATGCTATAAAAATGTATATACAACACATACTTATCAAATTTCATTACCTGTGTAGTCTATTTTGAGTCATTCCAGTAATATCAGAGTGACAACTGCCATTTTTTCTTGCATTCTGTTCAGTTCTTATTTACAATAGAGGGTGATCCAGGTTGTATTGCTGTTTCCTCCTGCATGCTGTATTTTACATATGTTGTGTATTTGTATGATGTTTATACTGAATATTAAAAAAGAATACACAGCATATCTGGTAGTGTTTGGAATTTTAAAAAAATGAAGTCTTGTAAAGAGAAAAATACAAAATAGATTAAGAGAATATAAAACTAATATAAGATAGTTATGTTAATTAAGCACTAGAGTAAACATAGGAAAATATAAAACAAATCTAGATGCATTAACCACTGGCTTTTGATTCTCTTTACAAAAAAAGCAGTGCATATTGTTGAAATACACCTTTTAAACATAAACTGCAAGTCTGTATGACTAACATATATTCTTAAACTAAAGATGTAATGATGAAAGCTGTTTTGGAGTAATTTCACACGTCATGTATATACATTGTGTGAGAGCTGAGCAAACTTTTCAGTTTCTTTGTTTGAAAAAAATGCATTTTAAAAGACGTAGTTCACAGATGACATTTTTCATGAACAGGATGGATGTCATACAAGATGTAGAGAGAAAGAGAAGGCTGCAAGAACTGGAGGAACGGTTGGTGGACCATATGTCAGAAATAAACATTGACGGTTTACTGGTAAGGGCAAAAAATGAATCTGTACTATTTTAATGAGTGTTATTATCAGGTGTTATTCTATAATACTATTGTTAGATTACTTTTTTTTGACATTTACATATTGTATTATTCTTTTTCCACATTTCTGTACTTTCACCTTTAAATGAGCATTTTGAGCAAGTTCTGATATGATACCTTACCTCTTCTCATGTAATAGCTTTTCTCATTCAGTGCTGTCCTCTATATGAACAAAATATTTCTCTCATCACTAAACTTGATACTCCCACCTACCCCATATGCTCAATGTTGTACAGCTGTACTGTAGCATACAAATAAGCATGAGACAATCCTCCACCAATAGTGGCACACCCTCCTGGCACAGCTGGCTCCTTGTATACTGTAGAACTCAATCTTCTCTTTTCGATTTGGCACAGTAGTGTGAAGACATGTTCAAATTTCGCTTGTGTTTGATTTTGATTTTTCAATTTTTTTTCTTTCTACACAACTTTGTTTCTTCTGCTTTGTTTTTTTTTTTGTACAGTTAATCTTGAGTTACTGCAGGTTGTTGTTACTCTTGTTACCCACACTCAATTGGGTTATGAATTTCAAATTATTGCTACTACTACACTATTTAACACTACTACTGAACCTCAACCTGTAGTTTCTCAGGCTTCAGGCACCACACTTTCAGCTGAGGAGGTCTCAATTTTAGTACATCTTGAATTGGAGTCCATTATACAGCCTATAGTGTCTCCTTATCTCAGACCAGTTATTCACTTTCCTGGTGAACCCAGACAAGATGATAATTTGGATAGCTTTTTCCACCTCCTTCCTTTTCTATGCAATCCCATAGTCTCACTTTTAGTGCTCCCAGACCATCTTCAGCCTTTCTGGATATGGTGTCATAGGTATGTTACTTCTTGTTTCTGTCTCCTGTGTCATATGATTCCTCTCCTATTACATTTTGCACCTTCCTCTGACTACCTGGTGCTCTCATATTGGGGTCTATAGTGATCAGTTTGTGGCATAGTTACATTCTGGGTTCAGCATGCCTTGTTCCCCTCATACCTTAGATAATTACTCATATCCAATACTTTCTGTCTCTCCCATTCCAATTGAGTGTTTTCCTCATCAGTTCTCTCCCTCTTGTTTCTTTTTTTTTCATTCCTTCATCCTCCTCATTCTATGCCCCTACTTGATTAGGACCACACTATGATTCTCCATGTCCTTACCATAACAGCCTCCTTTCAAACCTTTGGCCACCTGTTCCCTGTACCTATTTTTTGCTTCTTTTAGCCTGTGATAATCATCAGTCAGATGTTTTCACCTTTGACATATCACGTGTCCTTTATCACTATACCTATGTTCTCCTCTATCTGGATCACAGTTTGTTTCCCAAGACGTTGACAACTCATGAAGGTGACATCACATTCATCTCTCTTTCCCTTCTTTCCATTTCCCATTTATATTCCAATCTGGATCATCTGCTCTGTCCTGTTCATGCTCTGTGATGTTATGTTGCCTGCATGGCTTCTTTCCGTGTTCTTATTCTGGTTTCTTTATCCATTGGAACCCTTCCTCTTTCCTTGATATTTCCCCAACCACTCTTTTAGGATGGATTTGTCACCTTATCAAATTGGATTAATTTTCCTTGTCTTCCAATTTACAATGTCTTTTCTAAGTGTACTCACATATGATTTGGCGCCTCTCTCTTTCCCTGACTTCCAATTTTCTTTGTCTATTGGAGTAAATCATTTGGGCTGACATGTGGATCACACCTAATATATTTATCTCCCATTACTTTCATCATGTGGCCATCTCCTCCTCATCTGGATACCAAATACCACCTGTTGCCATTCCCCATACTTCAGTTCACCTGAGAGTGAGTAAGTTTATATTTCTTTACTTCCCTTTTATGGACACTTGTACATTTTAAATCCTGCTCTATGGTGAGTGGTACTTGTCCAGGTACACTAATCTATAAAATCTGCACTGTATGGCTGTTCCATAAGATCACTAGTAGGTTCATCCTTGCAGTGTTTTGTGTCAAAACTATGTCCATCCAAGACTGTACCAACTCATGGACTATCACAAGTAAAGTAGTGTTAGGATAGTTGCCCATCCCTCTGATCCTGGTTGAATAAATTAGGACTGGCCTGCTTTTAAAAATAGTTTCATGGTCACCCATTGCACTTTCTCCAGTTTTGCATTCCTCTAGACTGCACCGCATTGTCCCCCTCTCTTTGAATGATGTATGGGAGTCCTTGCCACTGGGGTGGTGGACCATGGAGGCATCCTCCTGAATGTGCTCAATCCCATTCAGTTGAGAGTAGGGCAGTGGTGTTCTGTCAGTGTAGATGGTGTGAACCTTCCTCCTGCCTCAATCCTGAAGAATAATACCTGACTCTGCATGGTTATGGACTGGAAATGATCCACCAAAATGCCATTCACCCCTTTGGCTGGGACCCCTCATTCTACTGCCACCTGGATGTTAGTTTCCGAGTGGTATGGTGTTGGATGAAAGCTAAACCAGCTAATACAAGTCCTCACACAGGTGTCTGAGAGGGAGCTCTCATTCTACTGCATCCTGGATGATGAATTTCCAATAGTGCTTGGTTTTGGATTTGAGTGAACCACCACATTGCATTTCACCTTCCTACTGTCATTTGAGTGTTGTTTCCTGGGTGGCCTGGTTTTGCACACATACTCCTTGCTTGGGTGGTTGGAATGAAAATTGTTCTTCCCTTCTTCTTCCTAACCTTGAATTGAAAATGGTTGGGGCCCTCCTCCTACCGAGGACCAGAAGACAAATGCCTGGTTATGTACTGGAGTTGACCCACTAACTGCAGTCTGACATGTGCTAACCACTCAATACCAATCCAATTTTTGTGGGTGTGTTCCTTTTCTAAATGATTTTGCGACACATATTTCCACGGTGGACAAAGAGTATACCTTTTTCAGATGTGGTGTGGTCACACTTCATGGGTTCTCCTATCTTTTAGGAAAATTATAACTTCTGATACGACATCTTACCTCCACTCACATAATAGCTAGAAGCACACATTGACCTGGTGGAGGAATCAGTGGAAATTTAACTAAAATAAAAATTTATTTCTGATAGATGGTTACCTCTTCCCACCCTTCCTCCCCACTTCTGGTGGTGCTTTTTTTGCCTAATCTCGAGGTGAAGATTGAGTTCTATAGTATAGAGGGAACCAGTTGCACCTAGAGGGTGTGTTACACTCCTATAGGTGGAAGGTTGTTGCATGCTACAGGGCAGCTTTACCACATTAAACACATGGGGTAGGTGGGAGTATGAAGGCTTGTGGTGAGCAAAAACTTTGTGCATATAAAGAGCAGCACTGAACAAGAAAAGCTATTATGTGAGAAGAGGTAAGTATCTATTGGAAATACATTTCCAGTTTAGGAAAATTATAACTTTCTAGAAGGTGAAATTGTATACAGGGTTATATGCATGTATAGATAGATTATAATGGCAGTGAATAATTGTAAACTAAATATTCTTTTACTTTCTACCCTTTACGAAGCAATGAATGATTTATATCAGTGGTTCATAATCTTTTTCCAGGTGAGGATCAACTGGTTTTGATCCCAAAATTTCACAGACAGCTTCATACAATACTAAAATTTTGAAATAATTTTCAAACAGTATACTTAAATATTTACTTTTTAAAATGCACATTTTTAAAAAAAATTATCTTGTGGGCCAGCTGAAATCTCCTCATGGACCTGTGATTGGGAAACACTGATATACATGAACTGTTGAATATGAATCATTCTTAATTTAAGAAAACAAAGGATTTTCTAATTGTCATGAGTTTGTCTTGTGAAAGTAAAAAAAAAAATATTAATTCAAACAAATTACTCTGTTATCACTGAATTCATTTATTGCTTATCAATGTTATAGCTTATGATACAAAACTCTTAGGTTAGAATTTGAGCTTTTGTTTTAAATTCCCATCATAATTATTTTATTATTATGATTTTATACAGAAAAGGAACATATATATTACTAAGATAATGTACCTACTGTCTAAGAAAATAGTAATATATTTCTAATGAAGAATTAAAATAATACACCTGCCCCTTAGTTTCAAATTCTACTGTAAGAGAAGGATTATAACACTACATTCATATCTCAAGACTATTAGAATATATACTGCATTGAAGTAACCTTTTTCATGTTCTTGAAGGTTTGTACTTGTATATGAAGCTACATTGCTATAGGTTTGAAACAAGTCCCATATTACTCCAACTTCATTATTATAAAAATGTAGATAACAGCTTGTAATAGTATATTAATTAAGCATAAGAATGATGTATAATTTGTATGATTTTAAAGGCATATTCGTACCCTAATGGTGTATTGGAATTCTGTGATATAATTAGTTTAGTTAGAAAATGGTGTTTGGTTCTCACTAATGAATACTTTGTATCCTGTCTGTCTAACATTTTAATGATTGTTAGAGTATTTGGAAGCATGCACATGGCCCAATAAAAACTAGATCATAATTCCTTATTAGTTTAATTTGTAATAAGCCTATTGAACTGTGACAAACTTAGTGGACATTTATGATGCTTTGAATAGTAAATATGCAAGTGTTGGCCATTGACCTTCAAACATTTTTGTAGAAAATCTGAAGTGGGTTTTATCTACCAACTGTGTAATTGTTCTTGGCTTGTTGAAGCCTGTGATACTACTAAGTGTAGTATGAATGATCTGCGTGTGTGTGTATGTGTGTGTGTGTGTGTGTTAAATGGAAATCTTATAAATGGGTTAATTTAAGTTAACAAATCCAAATGATTTTATAAAGTGACATTAGTGTTCGTTATATTGTTCTCCAGTTACGTAATTAGAAGCTCCAAACAATTTTACACGATAACAAAAAGGTTCGTTTTAGTGTCCATTAGTCATAAGTTAGTTATCTAACAATTCTAAATAATTCATCAGGCTTTTAATTTATCCCGTCACAAGTTACGTTCCTCATGGATTCAATTAA